ACAAATATCTCAAATAAATGATGTCGTAAAAAAGTCACAAGATAGTAACGGTACGTCCACACGGCGGCGTGCGTTGAAGCTTGCCGGTGGGCGTGTCTGAAACTCGACCAACAACCAATCACCTGAATCTCCCGCCCCGGACACACAAGCACGCGGTTTGATTGGCTAGAGCTTGTACTGGCATATGATTTGATTGGCTGACGCTTCCGTCGAAGCTTCAAAAGTTGAACGTTGCTCAACTTTTGAAGCGAGCAACGGAGGCAAAGCGAGGCGACACTTTGGAAATCACGAGACGAAAGAAATATCACAATTTGGAAAAACCTGCTTATAGAATACATTTCAATGGAAAAATAATCTGCCGGCAAATAAAAACATTAATAAAATCAAGGTTGGATTTCATCTTTACAGACCTTTGCCCCTTATTCTGTGTGTGATTGTATTTTCAGAGGGGAGGTAACTGAGAAGAAAACTGTGAAACAGAAAGCAGACTGGAAAGCAAAGCGATGCTCTGATAAGTTCGAGGAGCCAGAGAGCCAACACTCTGCCCTCTGGGAGACGATAAGCACTCATAACAAGAGCCTGCAGGTAAAATACAAATACACTCCAACATGCTTGTCACACTCACACATACAAATACTACACTGATGAAGACGCACACTTAAAAGTATGTACCGGCATACTTGTGCACACAGAAAGCATCTAATTTCTTAAACCTTTTTTCCAGAATTACTTTGCAAGGAATTTTTATAATATGCGCTTACTGGCTCTCTTTGTCGCCTTTGCAATCAACTTCATCCTCCTGTTCTACAAGGTAAGAGAAATTATAGACATAACAAGCAATAACATTTGCAGTGATTTTCAATTTAGAAAGTTATTGAAAGCGCTATTTATTTCCACACTTTGAGAAGAATTGCACTTTAATTTCACTACATTTTCTTGATAGCTTTATTTACAGGTTTCTATAGTGAGTACACGCAAAATATGGTATCATCACATATAACACAGAAAAGTCAGCACAAGCTGCACCTCATTACATCAGTCATATTACAAATCTCTTAAAGGGGACCTATCATGCAAAATGCACTTTGTGATGTCTTTTATACATAAATATGTGTCCCCGGTGTGTCAGGGAACTCACGCAGCGTCAGAAAATAAAACTCTCTCTCTTTTCCTCCGTACCCGAATCTCTAAAAACGGGGGTACAACGGAGCTGATCCAGATTTGCGTCCGATATGACGTAATATCGGAAATGTAGGCTGGCTTTACACCCACGGCCCTATCAGAAACAATGCCCGACTGTTTTGGACGTAATATGGTCGGTGCATGTTTACATTAGCATCGCTAACACTCAGAGCTAACCTGTACTGGAGAGCATGTGTGTGAAGAAGCAGGAAATAAAAAGGAACTCACCTTGTGGTATAACCGGCAAGAGAGAAAGCCTTTGAGCTCCATACTGTTTCAGAAATAATCCTTGATAATCCATGATATGGCGTTTCATCACGGCAGTATTTAGTTTAGACAGTAGCTGCCAGGTCCCGCATGAGCTCAGCCCCCTCCTTTTTTTTAAATCAAACTTTATACCCCAAATCAGCCCTTTTTGAAACGGGAAGTGAAATAGAGGGATATGAGGCATGGCTGGAATGGGTGATCTGTTTGGTATTTTGAGCAAAACACTTCATAGACATGTTTTTAATATATTTGTATATATCTGAGACCTATGCTATTGCCTAAAAATAGCATGATAGGTGCACTTTAATACAATGTATGTTTGGGTAATTTTAATACATTTTGCATAACAATATACTGTTACATTTCATATTTAAGTACATGTTTCTACAAATGCTTGGATGTCTTTGGTCTTACCAGGTAGCCTCTTTGCCTGCATCAAAAAAAGAGGAAGGAGTGGTCACGTCTGATAGCAGCGAGGGATTGGACTCTGATGCTGCTGATGATGATGATGATGACAACGAGGGCACATATTATTTTGTGCTGGAGGAGAGCAGTGGGTACATGGAGCCATCACTACTTTTCCTGGCAGTCGCTCACACAATCATCTCCTTCTGTTGTATCATCGGGTACAACTGCCTCAAGGTAGAGCGGCTCAAGCTCGTACTTTGCTGATTTAGCCTACACTCATTTCACTTTTTCAAATCAGTTTCTCTCCATCATATTTACCAAGGGTATATTTTTAATCCACAGAATAGTTGAAAATAAAGCACATTGCCTACAAAGATAAAGCCAACTTCACATTGTGCTGCTTATGTAAAGAGTAGAGTGCACACTGTGGTGCTTTTGGTTGGCAGGTACCGTTGGTGATCTTCAAACGTGAGAAGGAGGTGGCGCGGAAGCTGGAGTTTGACGGGCTGTATGTGACGGAGCAGCCTCCTGAGGAAGACATCAAAGGGCAATGGGACCGACTGGTCATAAACTCACCGTATGTTCACAGCCATAACATCAACTGGGCTGATATCATATTAACATTAAACTTGATTTATGCTTTAAGCTTCAGAAACTTGCTGTTGGCACCGATTTACAGTCAGTACAAGTTGTACAGAAATGTTACACTTAGCAGAATGTTTTATTCTATATGTTTGTCTTTTCAGATCATTTCCAAGTAATTACTGGGATAAATTTGTTAAGAGGAAGGTAAGGTCTTAAGAGTAATGCAACTTTGATTTTGCACATCAAAACATTATACATTTGATCCTTAATGTGCTTATGGATGTATGTAATTGTTTGCATATTTCACTCGGTGACACCTCATTAAGAAACTAAATGAAATGTAATGATCCATTAAATGGCAGGGGTAATTATTCCCCCCGTCAGTTACCACAACAGTGTCACTGCCTCCAGAGACAAGCCAATGATTGTCATTCATAATATTCTTTGCTTTAAGAAAACATTTTCTCCTTATTTAGATCACTTGGAACTTTTAGCAAAATGTAGGGAGAAAATATAGATAATATAGTTTAGTAAAAAACAGATTAAGCATGTCAAATTGAAGAACAATTCTGTTCTGGTTTTTAGTAGTTATCGTTTACAGTTATCAAACCAAAAGCCTTCCCAAATCTGCAAAGAAACACATTCCGTCTCTATCTTCAAATACTTCTGCTCGTGCTCTTTTGATTGCACTAGCACATGCTTTTGTAGATAATGCTTACCAAACACATTAGTGCTTTGTTTCTAATAAGAAAATGGCTCTAAAATAGAACTAGACTTTGATTGGCAGCAAATACAAATAACACGGACCAGAGTTACCTTTCATCATTTGACAACCAACATGCAATTAGCAACACAAGTATCATAAAATCCTCACTGTAACTGTTCAGAAGCTAACCTAAGCAGCATCATTATATCATATAGCAGATCTAAGCTGCCACCTCATTACGGCACAGACTGCACAAGAGTTCTGCCTCTTTCCATCGATGTTCAGATGAAAAGGCACAGACTGTTGTTTTATAGAATCCTGTCTTCTTGTTCCGTCAGGTGATGGATAAGTATGGGGACTTCTATGGCTGTGAGAAGATAAGTGAACTGCTAGGTCTGGACCAAGCTGCGTTAGACTTCAGTTCTGAGAGTAAAGAAAGCAGGAGGCTCAAGAGAGAAGCTTCCTGGAGTGCTCTGTGAGTAGAAAAACAAGTCCTTGCCATCTTGCATTCTTAAAGGGATTCATGAGAAACTGCAGCGATCTACTTATTTATTTTGCATTATTTGCAGTTTCAAATAGTGTATGACAAACATAAACAAGCAAAAACCGGGGCATAACTTATCAGAAGGACAAGGTTTTCAAATAATCGTGTTTTTTTCCATTTATGTGTAGTAGATCGTCGTTATAAATAATAGATAATTATTGCCTTTGATCCGAGAACGCATTTAAGCAGTTGACTCAACACAAAGCAGCCGGCAATGATGATAGCAATGCAGCGTCCTTCTCTGGAGCATAGATTGAACTATACTATTTGCATTCAGAAAACCTGTAATTGATATAAATATGTATATATTTAAATGTTCAAGTAAGAACATCGGTACAGCTCTTTTGCTGATGCATGATACAGTGAATGTGATTATCATTAACACGGCGGGCTTAATTATTGCAGTGAGTACACTGTCAGTGTTAAAAACTTTTGCCATTTTAAAAAGCCTTTTTACTGTGCACATGTTTTCCTAGTATGTGCATGTTACCCAACGGGTCACCAGACAAAAGAAGCTCCTGGAACATTGTGTTGCACTTGAGGAAGCACAGGACGTTCTGAAATCAAGCCGCGTAACAGACGGATGCTTTTACAAAGGACACTGTAGTAACAAGGGTCTGATTTGAGTGACGGACATGTTTTTCAGGTTCTTACCTTGATGGATCTCTGTGATGATGTTGTTTATTTCAGACTCAAGTCCGTTGACATGAAGTACCAGGTCTGGAAACTGGGCGTTGTGTTCACTGATAATGTAAGCTCAGACCTTTCCAATATTTTATGGCTTTTGCTCGGTTGTGTTCCTCATTGTTCCTACAAAGCAAAGATAAAGGTGTCACTTCCTGCAAATTATTTCAACAGATAATGTCATAAAACCGAGAAGTGTGGTTTACACATATTGAATATTTTATGACGGGTCCCACATTTGTTTAATCTCATCTACTGTGCTAAGATTTTGTTTGATACAATTGCACATGCTGCAGAAGGGACGAAGATAATATCCTGTGATTCCCCCTTATCTAAAATACACATTTGTCTCTCTATCTCTCCTGTGTAATCTATATTGCCTTTTTTATGTGTGTATGTCCTTCTGTGTTTGTGTGTGCTCACAGTCCTTCTTGTACCTGGCCTGGTACATGGCCATGTCCGTTCTGGGTCATTATAACAACTTCTTCTTTGCTGCCCATCTTCTGGACATCGCCATGGGCTTTAAGACTCTCCGCACCATTCTAACTTCTGTCACACACAATGGGAAACAGGTGTGTGTGTGTGCGCCTTTGTCCGTCTGTCTTTAATTCTCCATCCATCTGTGTTCATGTGTGCTCACATGTGCAGTGTGCATGCATGTGCTGTTTGCTTTCACGCTGTCAGGTTATATTGGGGCTTTTCCAAACTGAAGAAGAGTATTAAAGCCCATCTGCCTCTGTCGATCCCTTTTGTAATAATGTGTGTGTCTCTCAGTTGGCCCTCACTGTGGGCCTGTTGGCTGTTGTGGTGTATCTCTACACCGTTGTGGCCTTCAACTTCTTCAGGAAGTTTTACGACAAGAGTGACGACAAGAACACCCAAGATATGAAGTGCAATGACATGCTTACTGTAAGTTTAATGTGCATATCATAACGCACACAAGCACACAAAGCAGTCTGTCTCTCCACATATGTATCCATATATCCTCTACATGTATGTTTATCATTCAAACAAACACAGCCACACACTTCATTTTCCACCTCTTTAGATCGATTGGGGATTTTGACATTCATTCCAATTGTTGAATCAAGAAGAGCCTTTTGTTTTATTTCTTCCACAACTTTTCCATAAAATGACAGACGCATGGATAGAAAAACATCCCCTCAAGCCTCTGCACTTGTTTACACATTTACACCCCATCGCCGTCTCTATTTTAATGCGGACTCCACTGTCACTCAAAAAATAAGACGGATGAGCAGCGATGGCAGTTTGAAAAAAAAAAAAGGTATTGGTATTCGGGGTATTAAGTACAATCCTCAGTCACGCTCACATTAAACAATACAATACAATGCAAAATGCCAGAAAAAGCCAAAAACTCTTCACTCTTTTCTGTCTCCCTCTGAACTAAGACAAAAAGCCCTGCCAGTTTCAATTTATTTTTGAACTTTGGGAAAAGAATCCCTGACCCTTCAAAAAGAAAAAGCACTCTACAGTTCTTGCTCGATACATTGAATGTGAATTCTTCTTGCCTCATCCATACAAACATAAACTCCTTGAGGGGAAATGAAATCTGAGACAAACAATGTTTTGAAACAAATAACTATTATTCTGTGAAATTGTTTTTGCTGGCTATTTGATTCTTGTAAAAGCCTTCACATAAGCAACTAGCTCAGAGACTGAATTGAATATAAACTTGTTGTGCAGCTTGAGTTTTCAACAAACAGTCTTGTATTTGGGGTTCCGAGAAACAAGACTCTTGTCCTTTTTAGATCCTTAACATTTTCTCCTTTACCTCCTACCTTTGTCAAACAAAGGACAGCCAGTGAAAGAATGGCTGTTTAATGAAAAAATGCCCTCACCCTAAAGTGGATAGCATACTTTACAATAAATGAAATAATCAGAATATGAATACCTTTATTAAGTGCGTAGTTACAGCAGGAAAAAGAGCCACAGACAGCTTAATGTTACATGTGTTGAATATGTAACATGCAAAAAGTACAAAGTTATGATTCAATAAAAAAATATATAATAAAAAATAAAAAGTTACATAATTTAAAAAAATACACATCCTGTAACAGTTCTTAGGATTTAGCAGCCAGGTATTTATTACACAGTTATTAACGGCATCTATATATATTGCACATACTGTAGGTGGTTGGTATTTAACAGCAGCAAGTTACACAATTGACAAAATACACACCTTGTAACAGTTCTAAGGATTTAGCAGCCATGTATATATTACACATATAAATACATGTTCTTTCAGTGTTACATGTTCCACATGTATGTTGGAGTGCGTGCTGGCGGGGGAATCGGTGATGAGATCGAGGATCCGGCTGGAGACGACTTTGAGGTGGAGCGCATCTTCTTTGACATCACCTTCTTCTTCTTCGTCATCGTCATCCTCTTGGCCATCATCCAGGGTCAGTCAAACACGCCAAATTTGCTTCACAGCTGATGCATTTTTCATGCAGGATTGGAAACAAAGTATATTTTTATTCCACTGAGTCCTTACGGCCCGTCCACACTACAGCTTCGACAGCTTCAAAAACGGTTTCCAACGCGTCTGCCCATTCACTTTGAATGGGGT